TCTGCATTCCTGCATTAGATTTTATTGGAAAATCAAGGTAAACTATTTTGCTTGGTTTTCTGAAAGCACATAATGTTCAGCCTCTCTAAGCTCTCCTGTCCCGCAGTTTGTATGACTCAATAGTTGGATCTTAGGCTCCTAAAGGATCAAGCTGAAGCTCTTTGTTGCTTTCAATAATGCCTCTGTGGGCCTCCTGATTTTAAATGAGGGTGTTCTCCACTGACTAATGTGATGTTTCTCATCCAGTGTCATTAGGATATGCTAATTCCTGATAATTAAGGTCCTGGTATCATGCTTTCCATTAATGAAGGATTGGGATTCATCAACATCAACCTGGATATGATTAAAAACAGATGTTTCAGAATAGTTAGTGAATCAGGCCATAGTATTTAGTCAAGACATTCTCGTGTGCAAAACACGATCAGTCATGAAAAGTGCGTCTTGACTGAGACTCCCTTGTTTATTATACAGTGTCTTACAGTTTATGTCTTAGTGCATGAAGAGGCGTGCAACTGACACGTTGAGATACAAATCAAACCAGAATGGAATGGAAACGGAAATTCCGGCATTTTTTATCATCACAGCATGCGTTTCTCTGACGATTTAAGTGCATAGTTGGGCTTGATATTTATGAAGTATGTATAAAAAAGCAACGACAAAGAAATATCAGATAATGTCTCCGGAGACAATACAACCATGGATATTTTTTTTTGCTGCAGAACGATGTGTGCGAAGGGGAGAGAGGAAGTCAGACAGCCAGTTAAGAAAAAGTTAGTAAAATAGAAGAAAAAAAAAACCAGTTATGTTTAGATGAAAATAATGTATTTCAAAAAGATTGTCTATGGAAATCTTACATTAAGAATGTATTGGAGTACTTACTTTTTATATATTAATTGTTGAGGATTTTTATTTGAAAAGAAACCTCAGGACCAAACCCTGTGTCAGGATTGTTCTTCCACTTTTGTAGTCAGTTTACACGGAAAGGAAAACAATATTTTCATAATTGGCTGAAGACAAACCCACAGACTGACATATATTGAATCTTGTGCGGGGAGTGAATACAGCAGAAAACTACATCACAACAGACACATACAATTACTACCTGGTTTGTTTTGTTTAGAGAAGCACTGGCTTTAAATTGAGAATAACAATGAAATGGAAATTACCAAGGACTGCTTTTCTATGCAGTGCCCCAGTTGCTAACATATACTGAGGCCCTCAGATGAAAGTTATAGTTATATAATAAAACATATCTGATTTGTATAAATATGTACATGGAAGACCCTATTTGGTCTAACGGTGCAATCAAAAGATTTCTTCGTATTACCCGATATCAAAATAACTGTTTGGCTGAAGTACAGTACCACAGTGGATATAGGAGTGGATGATATGTGACACCTCTGTCTTCAACCTGGACTATGGAACACTAACCTTGTCTGTTAGAGGATCTGGATTACAGCGGCTGACAAGGTCAGAGATGTGGTTCGGTGCTGGTCCTGCACATTTTACTGGTCATCCTTGCAGGTATAGCGTCAGTATCTATTGTCCTGACAATTTTGACTTAAGTAAGGAGAGAGCGTAGTGTATTTTTCTGCGTCGAATTACATTAATGCCAATCAATTCCTTTTTAATGTCTAACTGGGGTAGCTGAATTTCTTTAAATTTCTGGCATTCACACCACTTCACTACGCCGCTTGTGCGAGGTGAGAAAAGGGTTTGAATTATTAAGTTTTTTTCTCTTCTTGACTCGACCATTGGTGTCTCTTTCGATTTCCCAACAACTGAGTACAGAGCAATGAAGGCCTTACGGGATGAACTGTCTGAGAATGGCCCAAATCATCCCCAATTTTACAATATATTACGTTTCCCCTTCCTATAACGACCAAATTTTTCTTTCCAGTCAGTGGGGAACATGAATGTTTTTGCCCAATTCTCCATCCATCCATCTAATACATGTTGAATAATTTCACTAAAAAAAAAAAAAAAAGATTAGTACCACTTATAACTGGTACTAAGGAAGAGTCATCAATTTACTACACGCAGTGCGATTCATCCTCTGTGGACTCGTAATATCTATATATCATGGTAAGGGCAGTTCGTCCAATGGTTGAATACTAGTGTAGTGCCCTAGTGGTGGGAAGCAGATTACACTGTTAGCTTGCAGTTGTTCCCTTTAGTTAGACTGTTACAAAAGCTTCCCAACTTTGAGAGATTTCAATTCTGCTCTGGATGGAACAAGGTTGAAAAGTTTTGGTCAATATCAAACATAACATAGGATGGATGGTATAGTGAGTGGCAGTGGCATAGTAGATATGTGCTTTAAATGGTGTGATTAAGTAGAGCTAAAGTTTGCTAATGTGTTCACATGGTCAATTTCCAAAGTACTCGTGAACCACATTCTGGAGTATGTGGCAAAAAATGTGTATTAATCAGAATTGTATTCATTTTATGGTATGTTTTACATCATCTGCCCATTAAACATAAATGGCTGTGTCTCTATGACTCCTTTCAAAAAGCTCTCCATTACCAGGCTGAAAGATATACGATGTTATAATATCCAGGCTGAGCTTGGCACAATGACTACCCTCAGGTCATTCAAGACTGTTGGACCATTAATTGAAATTTGTTCTTAATTAACCACTCAAAGAATAAGAGATCCCATTGTTTGAGCCGGTAAGAAATTAATTTCTAAGTAGTGTGAAGTAAAATGAATGGGTGACCTCAGTTTCTTTTTTGGTTGCAATAAGTGTTATTATCAGAGCAACAAAAAGGTCACCTTTATTAATCATGATGATTATCTATAGTAATTAGGCCAGACATCCAAGGAGCACTTAGATGGTCTCAGAAATGTATTCATTATTCTCAGAATTACTTAAAGGGTATGAACACAATGTATTTATTTTTTAATTCTGTATGTAATATATAAAATAACAAGACCAACCTCAATTACGACCGGCACCTATTTTTTTTTGTTGTATTACTTATAACAATTTCTACTCAACGTGCTTACCCCTATTCAATGTGCTTAGCCCTAGGACAAATCTGAACCATCCATGTGGACGTAAAATAATTTTAGCCTAACCTTGTATTTGGTTTGATGTCTTTCATGACAATAATTGCATTGGACTTGATCCTCTTACATGGACTTTGTAGACATTAAATACTTCACCATCTACTCTTGCAAAGGGTTCTTAAATTAAAAAAAAGAATGAAATATATGTATGAATTGTTTTATACATAACTACTGTAAGATCGCATGACTAATGGTGTCACTGTTTTGTGATATAAATTCTCCAAGGGGCCACTAAATGATAACCGATTGCCTGCCCAATCCACAGGGGCTTACGTGTACTTGATTTGGGTCCAATTGGAAAAATTGAATGAAAAATCCCTCCAGGCTTTTAATTATTAAATAAATGTGGGTGGAATGGCACATTATTTAGTTACATAGAAACTAGAGTGAGTGACTAGGGACTGATCTACTTCTTGAGAGAATTGAGGATTGGCTAAACAAGTTGCTGAAAAGGTGAGAAAAAGGGATTCTAGTGCAGGTTAACATGAACTGTAGTTCCCACTAGTCTGGGAAGTAGACAAACAATCTCAATTCTAGTTGCATAGGATTATGTAGACTGCGGGGATGCAGAGTTTCTGTATTAAAGGGGGTTTCTGAGGCACTCACATTGATGGTTTAGCACACTTTGCAAAACTGTGGATTATCAGGCAGAGGAGTTTGACCCTTAAATCCAGCTGTTGTAAGCATGTTCGTCTTATCCCACTTAACATAATCAGTTCTTCATGTAAACATTTTTCCATGAAAACAGTTCACACAAAGCTGAAATTACCCTCATGGTTTGGTATCATGGAATGGTTGACACTGTAAAGAATGATAGTAATTTAAACTATGACGCCATTGTAGTCTGAATGATATATTCTTCATTTTGCTTACGTTTTTGTTATAGAATCACAGCAATATAATTCAAGTGTGTGCATTCTTTTGGTTTCTCTCAACCAAAATAATAAAGGGTGCTTAAAAAAAGAGAAATTAATAATATAATATAAATTTACCATAAATGTACTTTTACACGATTTAGTACTTTGCATGACCATGTCATGTTAAACTAATACATATGTGAAATAGTGAAGAATGTATTTATTTTCCTTGAATAAACACAAAATAGCCCACCAGCAAACCACCAGAGGAGTTCTGAGTCAGCCCTGGAAAAACAGGAGTTTGAAGCTGTTGGAAAAGGTTTTCAAAGGCCTTCGTTCATATTCTCTTTTGAAGAAAAACAATCATTATATTTTAGTTGTCTTTGAACCAGTCAGACTATTTCAAATTCCATTGAGCTTTAAGGAATGGTAGAAAACGTTTGTTATGAAGTTTAATGAATGTGTGTGTGTGTGTGTGTGTGTGTGTGTGTGTGTACTCAATCACAACAAAGACTTAGAAATAATACAGATGTGCTTGTCTCATTTTGTTTCTTATGTTGAACATATTCTTCCGATGATTCAAAGCCTTTTTCAACTTTAGGCTCAGAGGTCAGTTGCCTGTTTGACAAATAAATGATTTCAGGGAGGAAGTAATGCATTTGGGAATAATGATGGCTGCTCAGGTTGATAATGTATACTTGTGTCTTTGTCTAAACCATATGAATATTTAGTTACAGTATGCAATCAGAACCTTTACATCAATCATTCATAGTCCTTGTGGCCCATTATTTCTGCTACTGAATTATTCATTATTCGGACTGAATTTCTTCACATAATCAACTACCTCTTGTTGGCTGCTATGAATCAGTCCTGTAAACGGAGACAGAGGCGTACAATTAGAGTTTAAAGTGCAACAACAGTAAATGGATTAAACAACTCTTCAGTTCAGTATTTTGTCCAGTTTAAATTGTAGGAAAAGACATTGTACACTACAACTATGTCAGCATTGTAATGCAGCTGTTTGTCCTTTCCATCTCTCCCACCTCTATCCAAACCATCCATCCATCTAGAGTTTTTCTTGGAGCTGCTGGACAATTCTGAGAAGTCTCTCAACAGTATGTTCACAAGGACCTACGGGAAGCTGTACATGCAGAACTCAGAGGTGTTCCAAGACCTGTTCACCGAGCTAAAGCGCTACTACACAGGGGGCAACGTCAACCTGGAGGAGATGCTCAATGACTTCTGGTCCAGGCTGCTGGAGCGCATGTTCCAGTTACTCAACTCCCAGTACCAATTCACCGACGACTACTTGGAGTGCGTCAGTAAATACACGGATCAGCTCAAGCCCTTTGGAGATGTGCCCAGGAGACTGAAGGCCCAGGTCACCAGGGCCTTCATCGCTGCCCGCACGTTTGTCCAGGGGCTGATGGTAGGCCGGGAGGTCGCCAACAGGGTGGCCAAGGTGAGTTCAACCTTCTTTTCATACTTATGTTGTGGTGTTGCCTAAGTGACCCTGTGTTGTTAAGCAATGCAGCATTATGCTGTATGATTTTAACTGTCTGCAATTGCATATGTCTCAACACTGGGTTGTTTTTATAAGACCGTGCAGTATTGTTGTCTGTATTATGTTTTTATTTTTATCTACTCAAACACAAGAGAAGCGTAGTTCAATGGTTTGATTATATGTACCAATGATCTATCCACCCACACCTTCTTGTGCCTCGGACAATTTCACTGGACTTAAAATCATTCTTCTCTAGATGTTATTGCATCTGAATTATTTATTCAAGGCTGAAAAACAAGAAAGCATTTTGATTCCATATGAACATTTTTTTCTTCTTGATCCCCGGCTGTGAGGGTCAGTGCGAGACATTGAGACATGACTCGTGGATTACACAGTGTGAAGTATGCTCCACATGTCAGAAGAATCCCCCGCGGAGAGCAAAGCTTTGCAAAAGAGAAAAGATTAAAGCCCATCAGCCCCTGAGATTTCTGACGGTCTGTTTGCAGCGTTTCTCTCGCTAGTCTCATTTTGTCACTTTGTGGAGAAAGTGTGTCAGAAAAATTAATTAGATGATTTGAAGAAAGTTTTTCTTGTTTTGTTGCTAATGGTTTGGCTTGAGAAATTGGTTGATTTGATTCTGATGAATAAATATGTTTTTTCCGAGCATTATCAAACACTGGAGATTACAAATGTGTTTTTAAAGGCTTAAAGGATGAGTTTTCTAATTCCATGTTAAACGTAGAAAGTTATGCAACAGTTCTTCATCAAAGTCTAAACTGTAAACATTACATAACCAAAGCTGTTTGCTCATGATTTTGCAGTGCTGTATGAAATAGATCAAAAACTGTAGCCAGAGATATTCACATACACACACGTATTATAAAAATTCTGAGCTGCAAGCGGCTGTTTTTTGCCCCTCTGTTGCGGCTCGCTGAGGCTTTGACAAAAAAACAACACGGAAATACATAACGGTCAATATTTGATGTTTTTGCACAGTGGCCAATCTTACGAAAGGGGACAACTCTCATCTTGTGTCTTAGATAGTGCAGAGTCACTGAAAATAAAAAAAATGTTTTTATCAACTAAAACCTGCTTCACATCAAATAATGCTGCCGTCAAGCGTCGTTCCCTGCAGCTGGCTGATCATGGCTCGTAGACCCCCCCCCCCACCGCAGTAAACTTTCAAAGGTTTTTTGGTTTCACTGCCAACAACGATGGCCCCCCTGTATGCGTGGTATATACTTAGCATACGAGAAAACAAGCACACAGCACTTGCTGAAAAGTATCAAGCTGGAGATCAGCGATTTCTCAATGGCCGCAAGAAACTTAGCCAAAGAAAATATACTGTAGCAGTGACTCTCTATAAGGAGATATGTGAGAGGCCAACTTGGTCTCTTTTACATGCTCAAACATCACCTCCCGCTCACAGAATAATCGGCCACCACTTGCAAGGATAAGGGGACATAGTTATACTTTCCATGCCCGGTTTCTTGTTGGCTTGGCATGTTTTAGAATGCACATCGAAGGGTGTTTGTGTGCATTACGGTCCATACACACAGCATGTCTGAGTAGCAGTTTGGTCGGAATGTGTGTTTAAAAAAACAAACAAGACAGTCATAAAAAATGAACTAAAGCTACAAATAATAACAATTATTTCATGAATTATTCATAGTTCATCTTTGTAGCACCACAATCAGTGTGTACTGTTTTAATTTTCACTTGTGCTCTTGAGTTTGAAACAATTGTCAACTGTGTAATTCCATTACACTCTTTCTTTAAAAAATAAAAACAATGGTTAATTAAACACCCACCCTCAAAACAACTTAATAGAAATTGATATTTAGTGTTTCGCAGGCAACAACTAGGTGACTCAGCTTTGACCAAAACTTGCTATTGCATAGAAATGACAAATACAAAAAACCCTCCTGGCGGCTATTAATCTTTTTCCATAGAAACTATTATTAAAAACTATATTATACAATAAAAATGGTGAATAAAAATGACTTTTAAAAAGCTACGTCACAAAACAGCAGCTTTTCTTCATAACTTTTTCCTCTTTATTTCCTCCATGACCAACTTTCCTGTAAGGCCATGTATCATATGGTATATGTATCGCATATTAAACTGCTTTAGCCTCTCCCCCTGCTTCCATACGTCAACTCTGAAGAGTCAGTGTTTCATCGTTTATTATTGTCATTTAGCTTGCCTCTGATTTAGCCTTGCATCGTTTCTCAGTGGCATTGCAGCTATTTCAGATCAAGAGTTAAAATAAGCACCTCTATAGATTTGTTTTTGGCCCGAAATGTACCTACACTCTGGATGAAATCCAGTATTCCTTGATTCCTCATTAATTATGAAGTGGAGCCAGGAAACTGTGAGATTGCCAAAGGCTGTCAGGTTGGTGAACGTCTATACTGTAGAATTGGAGGGGAGAAAGTTATTTGACATGACAATTCACCTTGACCCAAGAAGGTCTATTTACCTCTTGCAGGAACAAAAAGCAACCCGCATCTCCTTACAACACCTTCTCAGAGTAAATAACCCTGATTTCTCACGTTTTAGGTTTAAGACAAGTCGCAAACTCAAAGTACCAACGTAATTATTGTGTGGAGATATAGGACTAATACTACAAGGTACAAGTAAAGGCAATTCAAAATAAAAACAAAGGTATTTATATGTAGCCGTAGTGGCTCAGCTATTCTGGGACCGATGTTGTCGAGGGCATCAGCCCGTGGCAGGGTCTCCCGAGGCAAACCGGTCTCAGGACAAGGGACCCCAGGTGCGTTATATATGTTGCACATGGCCCCTGGTGAGTAGATCATACAAGCGGCAATTAAGGTGTCATTCCAAACAACCAAATTAGTCTTGAAAATCTAGAGATTTCACAATGACAAAATGTGCCTGTTATACGAAAGGGCTGCTTCCCACCATCTGTCTCTTCAATTTGCACGTTATTTAATACAAGACGGTGCACTGATGATGATGATGAGCCATACATAATTACTGGTAACCCGCAGCTTTGCATGCAGTAAGTCAGAACAGGAGCGATATTGCTCCATTAAATGGGATTGCACTCGACTTGCACTGAGCAGTTTCCTTAGACCCAGATCCTGGATTAAGAGCAGAATCTGTTTGGATTACAGTTTATGATGACGATTAAGAGTTTTATCCTGGGGGTATTTAAAACACAGTCCGGCCACATTAAGACCTGCTCAGGCAATTGCAGGGATTTGGACCTTTTGAAAGGTTTAAAGTTCAGGTATTTAGAGCACTTATCACTCACTCTGCATACGCAGAAGAAGCCAGCCAAATTCATGGTGTATGCTTATTTGTGATGTTGGAAGGAAGGAGACATTTTGTACTGAGGGATTTGTTTTTCCTGATGGCTTACACTGTCATGTTGATCTCATTATATACTCATCTCCTACCATGAACTGTCCGATCGTTTGACATTAAGCCCCAAAGCAGTTTTTAAGCATTACACAATATTTACCTTAAATGAATGCTCAGACAGAATGCTCAAATGTGAGAAATATCACATGTGTTTCTTATGGATTTTCTTGGATGTCTTGGATATGTTTTGCTTTTTGTACTCAATGGTCAAATCTGTGTGCAAAGATTACTTTGAATGCAATACATTGCAGTACAAGTGCATTGAACTCTCATTGATACAAGCTCAGAAAACAATGTTACTGTTTGTGTCAGTCTGGAACAAATTAGGTTGGATTAAGAGGAAAACCATTTTTAAATCACATTCCATCTGATATTGTTCACGAATTCAACACTAAATGTCTGTTGCTTTGTTGCAATGTAGCTCTGATTCGCGCTACATTCTAAGCCCATTCACTTTTTAGCAGTCCAATTAAATGTGAAGGGTGTCCTTTTAATCTCTCTTCTAACCATTCTGCACCATTCAAGTATACAATTTCAACAGGGTTAAACAACACTTTACAAGCTAGAGACTGCGACAACCCATATAAACGCCAGCTAGTGTCACTTGCTGTTTTCTTTTCTCACCATTTCCCTCGCAAACAACTTTACCTCCTGTCTTTGTTTAGTTTTGTACCCTTTCTCCCCAACACCACAATTGAGTTTATAATCAACACCACCTAGCCCCAACGAGTGCGCGGGTATGCATGTGTCAAACCAGCGATTGCCTCAGTGTTTTTGGTGTTTACTAGCTCTGTTCTCCAGGGGCAGGTTGTTCTTTATGTGTTCCCGTTTTTGTTGCCAAGCCTTTTGCGTGTCAAGTCAGCGTGAGCCTCGGAGGTTTCTGCTCTGTTTTGTAAGGAGATTTTGTCTGTGAAGATCCAAATCCTGCAAAGCTTGAAACAAAATCAGGAACCAGGAATCAGAAAAAGTGAATTGATAAGTGGCATAATTAAATCACAGTAATTGGCAAGCAAAGCAATGTCAATGGACTTTATTCTCGAGTGAAAATTGGCACGACCGGTAGAAAGAACACAATGACACGATGGAATTTATTAGTGTCCTCTATGTAATCTAGTAGAGTTCTGTATTTGTATTTTTGATGACTGTGTTGCAAACCCCAAAAAATGGGCTAAACAATTCAACTGCAAATTCTGCTAATGGCAGATTATGTTATCTGTTCCGGAGGAGAATCGGTCCGTTCGTGTTTCTCAGCTGAGACGCACTTCTACTGATTCCCGGGACAAACTTGTCCGTCTCCCCAAGCCTGCCTCCCTCTGTCTGTCTCCTCTCTCACTGGCTCTCAGCTCAAACAGCTTGCTGGGGATAAGGCCTCAGCCACAGTGCTGTGATGGCAGATGGCAACTGGCTCAAAAAGGTTGGCACGTCATCGGGAAATGTGCTGCACCAAAGATGTCCTTTTTAATTAAAAGATTTTGATCTGCGGTGAACTGCAGAATGTCGGAAAATCAGAGGCATGATGTGGTCTGAAATACAAGGACATGATATGAAAGGATAATAAAAAAATA